CACTCCAGCGGCAGCGGCGGCGGCAGCCCACTCCTCTTGCCTTGGCTGTCCTTGACACCGCTGACCACTCGAGGAACCGACTCACCACAGGACAGCAGCTGAGAGGTCTGTAGGGTGGGCAGGCAGGAGAGTCAGGGTCCTGCCTGCGGCTGAGAGCCGATGGTCTCAGGACACGTTCCTCAGACATCGAGGCTCTGCCTTGCATCTACTCAGATTCAGAGCCTAATAACTGTGCTTCTCAGGGAGTCTCAAAGCAGCCTGGATTGCTGTTCAGTCCTCTCCGCTCCAGTCCTAGCCCCAGCGGCTTTAAGAACCCCCCCGCCCCACGTGACTCCATTGTTTCTTCTCACTCCTGTGTCAGAATTGGATTTTTTTTTTAAGTTCCACATTGTCATGGCATTAAAGTCTCCTGTCTTGTCCCCACACTCAGTCTCTTCTTTATCATGACCTCTAGCTCAGCAAGACAAGTTCCCTCCCCTAATTCATACCCATACCCAAGAGACACACATACATAGCCTAAAATACACCGCCCCATGGACCACCTCAGCTTCTGGGAGGCCCGGCTCCTTTCACCTCTCACTTGAGCTATGATTGGCTTTGATCAAATCTCTGAGTTTCCAACACTCTCACCACTTAATGTGGGGTAGCAGAAAACGGGCTCTGGAGAAGGGACTAGAAATCCTGGCACTCTTGCTCCCTAGCCAGTGCTGGCTGGCAACCCCTTTGTCTCTCTGAAAACGGGATCCTAACCACCAGACCCATCTCACACATCCTCAGCCATCCGGCCCACCGCACACAAGCACCTGCCATCTACAGAACAAGGCTCCACTCTTCAATCCACTCTAAAGATACATTCCTGAGACACACGATATCTAGTCTGGGGGCTGGCTGCAGCCTGTGAGGCACCGTATGTGAATGTTCGGTCTGAAACAGGCTCTAGAGATGAGTCCCTACTGGGAAGGTTAACAGAATGAGGGCTACAGGCAGAACCGGCAAGACAAGAGCAGTATGGGAATTCTATAGGAAGAAGCAACAGATCCCGTGCCCGGCCCAGTGTCTGGGTTTCTGAGCTGCCTTTTGTCCTAAATGACTTTCCTGCTGCTCTTTCTTAAGACACTTACTTCACCAGCCTTCCCCTCTGCACCAAAGTCTGCCGCAATCCTCATGATATAAAATACCTCTGATCCTCACATACTGAAAGAGCCTAATATAACCATACATCTGGATGCAGCAATGTGTGCCGTCAGACCCTGGGGAACAGCATGAGACCATGTGCAGAGGACAGCCAGCTTGGTTAGACTCAAAGCAATGAATAGCTTTGGGACAGGCAAACACTCTAGGCCAGTGGTTCTCAACCATCCTAATGCTGTGACGCTTTAACACAGTTCCTCATGCTGTGGTGACCCCAACCATAAAATGATTTCATTGCTACTTCATAACTGTCATTTTGCTACTGTTATGAACTATAATGCAAACATCAGTGTTTTCCAATAGTTTTAGGCAACCCCTGTGAAAGTCATGACCCACAGGCTGAGAAATACTGCTGTAGAGCATTCTTCTCAGTGAAGTTTTACCTAATCACCACATACACTAAAATTAAAAAGACTAACAAGACCAAGTGCTGGTGAAGATGTGTGAGAGCTGAAGCCTCACACTGTTGTCAGGAGTGGAATTCAATAGCTGCTTTGAAAAACTGTCTGGCAATAGCTTCTACAGCTGAAAGAAAAACTATGTATACATACTTAATAGACATATGCCAGGAAACACAAATGCCCCGAACTGATACTTGCTTATCTTCATGAAAAGGCATGCACAGAGTGTTCACAGTGTATTACGTGTAAGAAATGAAAGTACAGCTCTGTGACAGAGTACAAGGCCCTGGCTCCTCCACACCAAAGTAAACACTTTTAAAGAAGGCTTTGACATTCATGTAACAGGGAAAATGTAGTCCGTGCAGAATACTTTATAGTGGTCTGGTGTGCAGTACAGAGGTACGGCATTTGCTTGGCTTGCAAAAAGCCTTGGGTTCATTACCTAGAACTCAGGGGAAAGGAGACAGTTTTTGTTTGAATGGCACACCCCATACGTCTCGGCATTGGAACACTCGGCCCCCAGTTGATGGTGCTGTTTGGAAGGTTTTAGAGGTGTGGCCTTGCTGGAGGAAATATGTCACTAGAGGTGGGCTTTGAGAGTGAAATGACCAATCATTCTCTGTTTCATGCTTACAATTCAAGATGTAGGTCCTCAGCTCCTGTTCCTGCCACTCTGCCTGCCGTAACTGACTCTTGTCCCTCTGGAACTGTTTGTACAAATGAACCCTTTCTCCTATAAGTTTCCATGGTCACGGAGTTTTATCACAGCAACAGAAAAGTAATAATTCATATACTTTAGAGCAGGGGAAGATTACCAATATTCACAATATGAACAGATCTTCAATGATATTAAATACGAGGAGAAGCCAAATACAGGCAGTCATAACTTTGCATGACTATTTACGTAAACTAGATATAAAATATACACATCAAAATAGGCCAAACTTACTTCAAATACAAATATAACTGTTTACAGGAGCAAGAGGGAGCTAGTCCTGGTAGTCTTTGACACAGGCCTCAGGCTCAGCAAGCTCTGGCTAAAAACAAAGCAGGGTGGATTTTCAAGATCGTACGAATCTGTTTTCTAGAATTACAATCTTAAGTAATTCTACATAATAGTAATGTCTTTGTTCTTGAAAAACCAAGACCAACCAGAAAAAGAACTACAAAAACACCTTAAATGACACAGCAGGTCCGTCCTCTCCTCCAGCTGTTCTGCACGGGCTTAGGCAGCCTGCATGTGTAGGTATAGAACTGTGATTTCCCATCATGCCTTGGCCTCTGGTCTGATATTCACAGGGCTGCTCTCTGCTTCCCCAGGTCCATGTTTGTGTCTCCTCCATCAGCAGTGGGATTCTAGCTCCCAACAGTGTTAATATATTTTTCCATCTGCACAGGCCAGTGGTGTGTGCAAAAATGCCTTCAGAACCAACCCTGGAAGCAGTGACCCACCCCACCCCAGCCTCAGTGAGATCCCTTACTGTACAGATCTACAGATCTCTGATCCTAAATCCTTCAGAACCAACCCTGGAAGCGGTGACCCACCCCACCCCAGCCTCGGTGAGATCCCTTACTGTACAGATCTCTGATCCCAACTCCTTCAGAGCCAACCCTGGAAGCAGTGACCCACCCCACCCCACCCCAGCCTCGGTGAGATCCCTTACTGTAACGAAGAGAAATCAGACTTTTGGAAGAAATGGCAAATTCCAGGGTCCGGACAAGGAGAGAACACCTGGAAACTGAGCACCCATTTGTGCCAAGAAGTAAGGTGACACAGGGACCCTACAAAGTCAGAGTGATGGGGATGTGTAAAAGGACACAGGGGCCACCTTGATGGGGTTCCCACCAGCTGGGTTCAGGGAGAATTTGAGCATCACAGTGAATAATGACAACACTCGATTATAATACACTGAATAAAATGAAAATCCATGAATATATACTGAGTAATAAATAAGGAAGTAGGGAAATCTCTTCCTTATACTGGGATGTCATAAATAATAAACATAAAGGGATAATTGATTTAGAGAAGTTTTACAACCATTGTAATAATAGTTAAGGCAGGGATGAATCACTAATTCACCTTAAAATTGCTGAGCACAAGTCCAAGAGGAGCGGCACATTCACCCAGCTCAGCCATCTTGTGACAAGGATTGTTTAGTAAAAAGGGGAAGGCAGCAGCTTCATAGAAGAAAGGGGAGGACACCACCTCCCCTGAAGACCCGAGTGAATGTCACTAATAATGGGATAAACTCAAATCAGATTTCTCCTCTGAGGATGTATTAAAGGCAGGCACGCCATCAGTTATTTAGAATTACTGCCAAAAGGGCAGAGGTGAAATCTAATCATGAGGAAAAATCAGGTAAAACCAATTGAGAGACATAATACGCGGCTACAGAACTGTCCTGTACACTTAAAAAAACCTAACTGTCACGGAAGACAAAGTAAAGCTGTCCTGGATTAACGAAAGCAAAGAGACTAAATGCAAAGCATGATCCAAGCAAGACTGTGTCCAAGCTCACAGAGAAAAGCAGCTAGGAAGGGCATCCTTGAGACAACCGGGGAGGTGTGAAGGCCATCCGCAGAGGGAGAGGCAGAGGGACACTGACTGGACGAGACACAAGTGTGGTCAAGTAGATGGCTCAGGGGTCAAGTGCCCGCTACAAGCAGGAGAACCTGAACTGGGATCCCCAGCTCACATGTAAGGGCCAGGAGAACTGGGAGACCTGTAACCCAGCCCTGTGGGAAAGGAGCCAGAGACAGGTGTCCCGGGGGTCACTGGCCAGTCAGCTTGTCCACAGCAAGCTCCAGGGCCGCCCTGGAGCAAAAAATAAGGTGCAGAGCAACAGATAAAGACAGGCAAACGTGGACAGCTGTCCTCACGTGCTCATGCTTGAGCAAGCACTCCACACGTGTACATCCATACACAAGACAAAGAAACAAACTTTAGAAGAAACAAATGTGGAGACAGGTGACAAACCATTACCGCAGTTCCACAGCGCGACAAAACCTTACACATCTTTCCCATCTATGTGGTGTCTTTCCTTTTTCATCTATACAGCATCTTCTCTGATACACAAATCATCCCTTGGGGTTTTGTTTTATTATAATGTCTATTGTATAAATTGAGGCTCATGAACACTAAGCATGGTTCACCATCTGACTATGCTATGTATGGGACCTGCAATTTTTGTGTCTTCTTCACCATAAAATGGGCATAGTGATATTTACGGGACAAGACTGCAAAAATTGAATGAGATCATTTTTGCCAAAGAATCCCACTCAGCAGAAGGACTTCAATAGACTCATTTCAGCTTCCATGACAACTAGCTTATACATGTACACACATACATACATACATACATACACACACACACATATGCCCAGTGAACTTTATTGATAGTATTCAAGAGAGTAGGGCTCTCTAAGCCCCTCCTGTTATTCTGGGGGTCTGGGATGGAAACTGTGAGGGAGATGCTCAGTGTTGGGGGCTGAGATGGGACAGGAACTGCTCAGCAGATGAGGGCCTCTCTCTTGCTGTCCTTGCTGGGGTGGGTGGTCCAGGGCAGGCTTCTTACTCCTTGGAGGCCACGGAGGCCATGAGGTCCACCACCCTGTTGCTGTAGCCGTATTCATTGTCATACCAGGAAATGAGCTTCACAAAGTTGTCATTGAGAGCAATGCCAGCCCCAGCATCAAAGGTGGAAGAGTGGGTATCCCTGTTAAAGTCGCAGGGGACAACCTGGTCCTCAGTGTAGCCCAGGATGCCCTTTAGTGGGCCCTCCGATGCCTGCTTCACCACCTTCTTGATGTCATTCTACTTGGCAGGTTTCTGCAGACGGCATGTCAGATCTATGACAGACACATTGGAGGTAGGAACACGGAAGGCCATGCCCGTGAGCTTCCCGTTCAGCCCTGGGATGACCTTGCCCACAGTCTTGGCAGCACCGGTGGATGCAGGGATGATGTTCTGGGCAGCCCCACGGCCATCATGCCACAGCTTCCTAGAGAGGCCATCCACAGTCTTCTGGGTGGCAGTGATGGCATGGACTGTGGTCATGAGTCCTTCCACAGTGCCAAAGATGTGTCATGGATGACCTTGGCCAGGGGACTAAGCAGTTGGTGGTGCAGGAAGCATTGCTGACAATCTTGAGTGAATGTCATACTTCTCACGGTCCACACCCATATCAAACATGGCGGTGTTAGCAGAAGGGGTGGAGATGATGACCCTTTTGGCCCCACCCTTCAAGTGGGCCCCAGCCTTCTCCATGGTGGTGAAGACACAGTAGACACCACAGCATGCTCGGCACCAGCCTCACTCCATTTGATGTTGGCGGGATCTCCCTCCTGGAAGATGGTGATGGCCTTCCTGTTGATGATGAGCTTCCCGTTCTCAGCCTTGACTGTGCCCTTGAACTTGCCATGGGTAGAGCCAGACTGGAACATGCAGACCATGTAGTTGAGGTCAATGAAGGGGTCATTGATGGCAACAGCGTTCACTTTGCCAGATACGAAGGCAGCCCTGGTAACCAAGTGTCCAATATGGCCAAATGTGTTCACTCCAACATTCACCATCGTGTCTCAGGGATGAGGCTGGCACTGCATGAAAAGATGCGCCTGGCTCTGGAGCAGGGAGGAGCAGAGAGCCAGCCAGCTTATCTTCACATGCAGTCAACATCAAGGCAATTTCCACTGTCGCGATTTTACATATTGGACCCCTCGTCAGCTACCTCTCCATTCCATAAGATAATTTCCTATTCAACAGGCTCCACAGCTGCCCACTGGTGTCCATGTGTTCGAGCATCCACTCAACCCCATCCAATGCCATGTGTGCAGCTGTCTATCTGGATCAGCTTTGAGGCCAGAAGGCTGAACATGATGTCAGAATATTAAGATTTATGGCTACATGGGACAAACTAGGGCTCAAACCAACATTCTACTAAAAACAAACCAAAACAAAACAAAACAACCTACAGGCAGGCAGAGAGGTGTAGAACTGAATCTTTTCCCCCAGCCTCTGCATGCTGAGAGAGGTGCTAAGTGTGGTTTTAGCCTTGGCACTAACTACCCCCCTGGAATTCTGTCACAGCTTTTTGGGTTCTTTGCTGCACCCAATCTCTCCCTCCTCTGCCAAGAAACGCTCTTTTGAAAGTCCATGTGGATTATTTGGTGTTCCAATGCTTGAGCCCAGACTCCTTTATCTAGTACTTGGGATCTTCAGCATTGAACACAGCTCTCCAGCCTCTTTGAATCCGCACAACTATCCACAAACAACTTACATGCTCCTCTTGTAAGATCCCACCCCCCAGGTACAGCACCCCAGCCCAGCACCCCAACTCAGGCTGTGCCCCCCCCCACTGGAGTTCTGGGGGGTGGAGAGCACACAAGGAAAGAGGCCGACGGCTTTAGTTAACTAAGCCTTGGTCTAGGTCCTTTGGGTAGATTAACTTGTTATAGCTTTACCTTATAGATTAATTGAGAAATAGAGTAAACACTTTGACTAAGAGCAAAGCGCTAATAAGTGGCCCAGCCACCTCAGAAGCAGCTGCTCCCTCCCTCCTTTGGGCCTTGCCACTGAGACAGCACTATTCCACGTGGCACTAAGTGGTGCTCACATGTCTGTCACATTGTATACAGATAATACCCGGGCCTCGTCATCTCTCTCTTCAGAGCTTTGTACAGTGCCCAGCACACAGTAGGGCCTACTCAGATGTCTGATGAGTAGAGGTCCAACATCTGCGTACCTCCCACCATAGACGTTAACGGAGTGACTTGAGTTGATCTCTGAGCTTGCCCACTCCTTACGGTTTCCGGCAAATGCTTTGAGCTCTGTAATGGGTGGATTCAGATGGCCCTTTATATGTTCAAAATGTAAGTCAAGAGCTAACAGAATGGTCACCTAAGACATGCAGGAAGAGATCACCAGAGCCGAGGAAAAGCCCCCAGGTGCCTAAGGGAGGAGGCCCTTAGGAAGCGGGCCTGCGGCGAACGAAGGGGAGGCTGCAGCCCATGGCCTCCCTGTCTCCAGTCTCCCCACAAGAACAGGCGGCTGCTGCGGGGATGAACCGCTTGTGCACAAGGCTCAAGAGTCTTCGCTTCTACTGCGGCTGCTCAGCAGAGCTGTGGGGTCATTGTCAGGCGCAGGACACCTGAATGTGGCCCCGACCAAGAGGATCTGTGACACCCTCAGGCCCCTGACAGTCAGGAAACTTCACTTCTGCCCACTCCCCCCACCAAACATGCTCTCCTGTATCTCCAGCTCCTCTTAAACTTCCTATGCCACCAAGGATGACTTTATGACTTTGAACTTCTGACCCTCCTGCCCCCACATTCTGAGTCCTGGGCATCTACCAGCAGACCTGGTTCATGCAGCACCAGGTATAGAGATCAGGGTTTCCCGCAGTTAGGCAAGTTCTAGGGCAGCTCTTATATCTCCAGCCGGCACTTTGGCTTCTTAAATTAAAATAAAATGGAATCCCTGAGACCAGATTCTAAAGTCACATTCTTGCTGAAATTAAAAGTGAAGTGACCCAGCCTGACGGAGTTCAGTCCGGCACAACCTGCAGGTCAACAGACAAGCAGGCTGCTGTCTTGTCCTCAGGGGCACCCTGCGGGAGCCCCACTGCCTGCAGGGCAGCTCCTGGCCTAGTCATCCTCCGAGGCACCTTCTTTGTCAACTAGGTGGCTCTGCAACTTCCCCAGTTCAAAACGAAGTTGCAGACTGTTGGGTTCTGTGCTTGGCCCCATATCCCTGACCGGGAAATAACTCCTCCCTCCCTCACTCCTGACACATTTTATCAGAATGCTAGCCAGCCTCTGCAGTTGCAAGGTGCTCGAATAACATATGCAGCAGATTGCACGCTCCATGATGTCTGCACAAACCTCCCCATTCTGCAGTGTGGCCTTGCCTCTTCCCTTAGGGTGGGGCTCATTTCTCCCTCAGTGTGGCTGCCCTTAACCTCCAGCCACAAGGTCAGGAGCAAACTAAAATGACCCTGAACTAGTATTTTGTAATTTAAATTAGTGCAGATTAACTGTACAAAACACTGACATCTGCACACATGTATGTAGATGTACTTACATTCCTCTCTCTTCCTGCTGTCTCCTGCTGGTCTCCTTGGCCCCTTCTCCCCAAATAACTTCTCTACCTTCATGATTTTCTTTTTAAATCTGGATTCTGAATGTGACAGAAAACATGCGATACTTGTTTTTCTGAGTCTGAACCAACACAAAATCATGAACTTTCTTAACCTTATATCTCCGTGGTTTTTTTTTTTAAACTCACTGCACAGTTCTTGAATGTGAATTCTGTAGACAGCACCACGTGTCATTGTTGAAAGGACAGGCATGGCTGGTAGAGGCTGTGAATAACCACAGGCTGACAGTACGGAGCGTGACTTCACTCCTGTGGTCTCAAGGAACGAAGCTAGCTGCTGAGCTGAGAGAACATAGGAACACATTCTTCCCAGAGCCTCTACACAACTTCTGGCCCACCTGACACCTCGATTTAGGTTTTGTGAAATCATAATCCGGAACACAGCTGGTTCCACCCAGACTCCTGACTTCTACAACTATTAACTGAGAAACACATACTGTTGTGAGTGGTAACCTGTTGTGCATTTGAGAAAACCGATACAATAGGCAAATTGATAAATTGTAGTTCAGCTATAATGGAATACTACTCATCAAGAAGGAGCAGATGGGCCTGGAGAGATGGCTCAGTGGTTAAGAGTACTGGCTGCTCTCCCAGAAGACTTGGGTTCCATTCCCAGCACCCACATGGTGGGTCAAACCTGTCTGCAGGGCTCTTGACACCCTCACACAGACACAAGTGCATGCAGGTGGGGGAAAAGGGAAAGATGTACCGATGAAGTAACAGGGACAGGTCTCGGCGACACACTGAATGAAGGACACCAGAGAAAAAGGAAGTGCTGAGGGTCCAGAGACATGACACTCTAAGAACGACAAATCTGGGTTACAGTGACAGAGTCCTGGTGAAGGACTGACTGGCCTTTCCAACTTCCTTTGGACTTTTCTGCTTCTTCCTGTACGCTCAGCTCAACATCAGTGTTCTGGTGGGAGCCCCACCTCAGCCCCTGGCACTCTGGCATCCATATACCCAAAGAGTCTGGAATGTTCTGGTGGAAGCCCCACCTCTCTGCCCAGACCCTACTTCCCCCCCCCCCCCCCCCCCCCCCCCCCCCCCCCCGAGAAAGTCCCACCAAACAAAGCTCCTCCCCCCAGAGATGCTCAAGACCACTCCCATAGGGTATTTTAAATTGCACCCTAGAAAACAGACATGTGTTTTTTCAGTCTCTCTTTCTGGTCTCCTATCTGGGGGGCCAGAGAATCACCTGGGAACACTTTACCCATTGCACTGGGGCTTTTTCTAATTCAGTTTGATTTTGATTGCTGTGTTGGTGGAGAGGCTTATTGGGGTTCAAACATTTTTCAACTAGAGGGTAAGGTAAGGCCCGCTCACAAGACAAACACTCTCCATGCACCTCTTTTTCTGTCACTCTGAGAAGATTCAGGCCCACTGAGCTCTCATGTAGGCAGACAGTCTATCAGAAGCACACACGGAAACTCTAAAACACATACTGCGATGGGGCAAGCCGAGCCTTCCAAAGGCTATGCCCCATACACCTCCCTCTTCAAGTTCCTTCTAATACAGATCAGGGAGTGTTGCACATCCACAACAATTCAACATTTTTTGAAGCACCTTTGATCCTCCTGACTCTACCTAAGAGCTGGGATTACAGACACATGCCACACCTGGTTTATGCAGTGCTGGGGAATCAAACCCAACATTTCCTGCATGCGAGGGAGTGTGTTATCACTGAGCTACAGCCCCAGCCAGAGCTCAAATGCATATATCTTAAAGTTTCATGTTTATTTTATGTGCATGTGTGAATACCCGCCTACATGCATGTATATGCTCTTCAAGCATGCCTGGTGTCCAGGGAGACCAAAAGGGGGCTCAGATCCCCTGGAACTAGAGTTACACACCGCTGTAAGCTCCCATTAGGTACTGGGAACAAAATCCACATTCTCTGCAAGAGAGGTCAAATATTTTTGAATGCATTGTTTGTTTCCACAGTTCTAATCTAATGCTGTCAACACACACTGCCACTGCTGGCCAGGTGAAGTAGGAATTGCCAACAGGAGACTGCCTAGCATTAGGACCTGGTCTGCAGTCAGCCTGAAGGCCTCTGTAGTAGTCCGGGTGACAGCAGGTTGGACTTCTGGCTCCATTACCTCTTTATTCTGTGAACTCGGCCATGTCACTAAGACTGTCTTAGCTTCAGTTCCTTCATATGTGTGACAGGAACCACAGTAACAACCCTAAGACTTCCCTGATGATTGACCTTAATTACTCAGACATAGTGTCCTGAGTGTGGCAGGTGCTCATACCCAGGTTCACCTGCCTTCTGTCTACTGGCTACGTGGCCCAGGACACAACACAGAAGTGTGAAACTGCAGAGGGATCGGGAAACATTTTCCCAGGACTGTTTTTTGTTTTTAAACTTTTCATTAACAAGAATTATAGAGAAAAGGAAAAGAACTCTTCCAAACA